AAAACGTACACATTTACATACCTTGGGTCTGTAGCGACCCTATACACTTTTTACAAAAAATTAATCAGAAAACAGGCATTCTTTTATATTTTACTATTTTTTCTTGTTATATTGTTTATAATGAATAGATATGAATACTAAGAAAGTTGATGTCTAACTTAAAAAAATTAAGGGGGGAGAGGATAGAGAATGATGTCCCGGGTCGCTAAAGACCCGATGTATGCATTTAAGGGTTAAAGTATACTTATTTTGACTGAACGTCCTAAAGCACATGTAAAGTACTTGATTATAATTTTCAATAAGGTTAATATTAGAGGTCGACCGATAGTGGATTTTGCCGATACCGATAGCTAGGTTGGACCACACTGGCCGATACCGATAATTAACCGATAGTTTTAAAATTGATGCTTAACAAAAAATAAAATAGTGCTTTATTAACAAATACAGTACTGAACCACTAGTAGTAAAAAAAAAAAAATAATAATAATAGTAAATGTTGAAATTAACACACTCTAACAAGGAACAATACTTACACAGCTTTCATTAATCTTAATGCTACAAATGGACTCTTATTTTAAAGTGTTACCATTTCATTTAAACTGTCATGCTTAAAGATGCACATCTTTAAATATATACACAAAGGCTATAGCATTAAAAGTATATACATATGGATATTGTATGTATACTCTCACACTTTAACTGCTTCTATTCTTGAACACTTGATGATTATCTAATCAAAATAAAAGTGCAGCGCTGAGTCTAGGAGAACTCACCGGTATCACACACACTCCTGACGCGTCGCGTTCAACTCGAGCAACTGTCTAAAACAGTTTATTTAATCACCAAACGGACACAAGTTTACTTCAAGAATGAACAATTTGGCATGGATGAGTTTGAAGTTCGGTGTTTAAAAAACGGAGCAAACGGAAAGAGAAAGCGCGACCTATATTATAGCTCTATAAATGAAGCACACAGACTTTATTAGAGCCACAGAAAGAAAAACGTTTTGCTTTAAATGCACAATACACAATTCATTATGAACATTAACAACGATTCGGGACCAATATAATGT